TGGCTTTTTCAATAATTATTGCCTAAATTTATCTCTCACCACAATCTCACCAGTAATACAATCTACAAATAACATATTATTTATAAATATTAGTTTCAATTTTTGAAACTAATAAAATAATTCTAATAATAGAATTAAAAATAACATAATTTCTAATCTCAATCTTAATACAAATATATAGTTAATACTATTAAGTAAAATTTTTTAACTCCTCTTTTAATTATCAATAAACATTAATAATCTAAAAATCAACTTCTAAATTAATTTCTATTATCAAAATTTTCTTTTTATTTTATAAATTCGTACCTAAAATACTTAAAAATTAAAAATTAAGTCTCTAGCTTAGAATCATAATCCTATAACCATAATAATTCATTTCTCATCCCAAATAATTATCTAAACCTCAATAAATCAACATATATTTTCAGATCTAGTCTAGAATTTGATCCATAAGCCACAAATTCAAAGATCACCAATAAATTTATACTCTAGAATATTTATTATACTACTAACAACCTCAAAAACTATATTTATTCAACATAAATTCATCCCTCTTCCAGATCTTAAATTTTTTACCACTATAAAATCAGAAATCAAAGAAGAAGGATGACTAAGAAAAAATTTTAGAACACTTACTTAGTCTTAAAAAGCTTAAAATCACATCCTAAATATCTTATTAAAAACTCTTACCTTAAAAATTTAGATATTTCGCACCGGCGACTCGCGTTCTCTCTGCTGCCTCAGCGCGCACGAAGGAATGAATGAAGAAACGAAGCAACAGGTGAGTTTTTTTAAAAATTCAGTGGGTCCCACACATTTTTTTTATTCTTTCTGTCTCTTCTTTCTTCTTCTTTTCTTTTTTTTTATTATTTTATTTTACTATTGTTACTATTGAGGCGGCGGCACGTTTTCTTCCTTCCTTTTTTTTTTGCAAACCTTTTCCTTTTTTTTATTATAATAATAATTTAATAATATTTTTTATTTTTTTTAAATTTTTTTTATTTAATTAATTTTTTTTAGAATTATATCCTAAGTTAGATTTAATAATCATCTCTTACTAATTTTCTTACCTCTAAATATTATATTTTTTTTATTAACCCAAATTAACTATTAAAATTTAAATTGGGATGTTACAGCAATGGGTATCCTTACATTTTAGAAGAAGCAATGTTGCCCCAAAAAAGTAAAAAATGGAGCAATTTTGCCCCATCGTTAAATCTAGGTAAAGTTGATTGTTAAAATTAAAGGTTGAATAAAATAGAACACATGACTCATTGGGATTAGCTTATTATTTTGGGTTTGCTAGTAAGCACATGGGGACGCTTGTCTTCTTCTTTATCTTTTTACGACCGTCGTCTTCTCCCTTTACCTTCATTGATGATAGCTATAGCTTCTCTTTGACACTGTTATTGACTTCTCCCTCTACCTTCATCAACTTTTCCTCTTCCACCTTCATTGCTAACCCAATCTAGTTTGAATTCAACAACAATGCCATTCACAAAGTTGCTGCTATGTAGTTGCTCCATCAAAGCCCCCATGCCATAAGTGTAGATCACCTCTCCAAGCTGAGTTGCTTGATCTTGATACCACCTAATGATAACAACTTATGAGGCTTAAAATGGTAGGGTTAGGTTAAGTTTCGTGACCCTTTGATTTGATTGTGCTATATATTGACTCAACTAATAGACATAAGGTTTCATGACTAAAAGCGAAACAATATGGATGTTGGGTAGGTGAGGTCGAAGAAATGGTTGATGTAATCAAGCTTATCGGTAAGATTAGTAGCAATTTACATCCAAAAAAGCCAAGTCAAGAGATTAGTAAAGCCAAGATTAAAATGATTTTGAAGACAATCAACAAGATTTATGCCCTAAACGTAGTCAAACACAAGATAAATGGAATTACCAGAGACAAATGCCCTTAGAAGTTTGAACGAGCTACTATGTGGCTTCGGCAAATGATAAAAAACCAATCTCAAAGCACCAATAAGTCCATATGACGACGAAACTTATGCTGGAAATTAGAACATCCTTGTACAGTTATGGAGTGTTGGCTCTAAAATTGATGACTAGAAAAGGAGAATTGGATGGAAGGGAGGAATGTTTAGTTTAATGGGGAAGAAATGCAATGGGTTATAGAAAATATAGGTTGATTAGTAAAGGAAATATTGAAGAACTATAGGTTTTTGGAAGGCATAGAGGGATGCTAGGGGAGGAAATCTCGAGAAAGGAAGAAGGTAGAGGGGGACGCTGAGTTAGTAAGGGTTTTTATGTTAATCTACATGAAGTCCCATTAAGTGTAAAAGAATTGCCAACTACATCATCTTTAGTTCTCATTAAAATTCTATTAGTTAAATGTTGGTTAAAGGTTATAAAAGGGCAACATTACTTTGCTTTTAACACTTTTGAGACAACATTACTCCTTCCAATAGGTAAGGATATCCGGTGCTCTTTCAAGAAAACTTACAAAGCATTTTTACCCCTTAACACAGAATAATAATATATAGGCAAACCATTGACGTCTAATGGCAGCTTACCACATGGATTTTACTCTTCTTCTTAAGTGAACTCTTACTTCTCATAATCATGCGACACATAAATAAAATATCACATAGCATGAAAAATACTTAATGTGCAAGCATGCTTAATATCATTATTGTATTCATGTCATATATGAACATCACATAAACCCATATCAATAAGTTATTGAACTTCACTTCACTTTACATTATTGAATTCCTCATTATACACATTCATTGAACTCTGCAAAATCATATCATTGAACTTTACTAAAATCATACCATTTTACTTCACAAAATTATACCATTTCAATACTTCCCCTTATTATAAAAAGGAGATTAAAGTTTTATATGCCACACTTGCATTACACCACAATTTTACAATTGACAATATTAATTCACAATTAAATTATTAATTAACAAGCATGAGAATAAGAAGATTTTCCCTCAATTACTTTAAACTTTTGAGATGTCAAATATTTACCCCTCAATTATTCACTTTCAAAACTTCACAAAGATTGAATGGTGTCAAGTTGTGATCACTCTACATTTAATCACAACATTAATCATCAATACTCTTTTTAGGATAATTTTCAATGTCTAATTCAACACTTTTAAACTCTCAAAACTCAATCTCCTCATACACGAGGGTACTCATAGGGTTTATTATTTTCATCTAATTCACATTAATTTCATTAAACTCCCAACTAACCATTTTATGGTGGATTTTTGGATATTTATTATCCTATAACTACCAAAATACTCTAACACTCAAATTATCCAAGTCCTAGCAGGGCTTTTTTGATTTTCTCCTTCCTTCTCACTCAAACTCTCTTTCTTTCCTCTAGTTTTTCATATTAAACTCTTGTCTAGTAAATTGAAAATTTGACCATACATCACAGCATGTGATATAAAGAAGCTTTCCTTACTTTCTAGTAGCTTTTGTGTTGCGTCATGCCATGCACGCGCTGTGGCATGTGATACAGAGCTATTTCTTCTTGTTTGTCTTTCATTTTAAGGTTTGGGTAGCCTAAGTTTGCTTCGAACTAACTCTTAAGATTGAAATTACAACCCATAACATCCATTAGCTCTCCGTAACCACACACCATATTAATTTACCTCATTTAACTTAGTTAAGTAGAGGATAAATTTTCAAGAATGTTATATCTGTAAAGGCACTAGGAAAGTGATTCTTTGTCTTTGTTGATTGAGGGTATGAAATCTTATAAACTAAAATTTTAAAAGATGAAATCACTCATTCAACATGCTTTTCATTTCACCCTACTCTTGAAAATTATTGTCTTAGTAAACACCCCTACCTTCAAGTGTGCTTTTTGCCCCAACTATGAATAGGATATACCGATGGTTTATTTATTAAAGATTATTCATGTTAATCATGTTCATTTGATTGAATTAAAATTGACTATATTTGTGAACAAATCTAAATTTTGTCTAACAAAAAACATTATTATTTAAATTAGAGTTTTGTAAATGTTATTATCTATATCACAGTATAACACGATTTATAATTTATAATTACATTTTATTCTTCCTTGATTAAAAAATGCATTTAAAAAAAATTTGAAATGTTTAATAAGACAACTTCATTATGGATGATCTAGCATATGGTTCAAGCCACATTTATTCTTTCCACTCTTAAAATTGAAAATATATTTAAACAAATTTTCATTTTATCTAACAAGACAACATTATTTCTTAAATCAGATTTTTGTAAATGTTTTTTGATACTTCTTTCAATTTTTTTAATCCCAACACCTGCGATGCACGGTCCATTTTAATTTTAACTAATCTTGCACAAAATAAATTAATTAATCATATTTAAATTAATTATATCTTTTTACATTTATTTCTATTTAATAGAACATTTTGCTAAAAAATAAATATAAAATAATTTATTTATTAAGGGATTTTTTTAAAAACACATTAATTATACTCTGAAATATTAAAAATACATTATATTTTTAAATATACAACTCTTAAAAAACTCACATTTTTTAATAGAGGGTATGCAACTATTATTTTTTCTAAATTAATTCTGTGGTATTTTTTTTTGTCTCTGATCACCCCTTTTTTGCCAATTTTTATTTGATCACTAAAATACTATTATTGTTGCTACTTATTTTTTTAAAAAATGTATTCAGAGAGTTGGGTTCTGAAAATTCATTAGGATTATGACATGCTTTCAAATTAAAAAAAATAAACTTATAATCTCATAAATTATAGACCAGTCAGTTATCAACTAGACCAATTTAGTGGTTGCTCTTATTTACAATTTTGTATGCAAATATAACACCATCCTATCCACAAAAAAAGAAAAAAAAAAAAAGAAAAGCCCCAAAGCTGATAGGGTATCGCCGCAATCACATTGTCAGATGTGTTATAGGCCCACGAAGGCCCAACTTAATTTATACAAAATTGTGATTAGATAAAAAAATATCGTAATTATCTAATCCGAATCGGTTTCTTGCCAAACAATCTTATTAAATTAAATTCGAAACCTAGCCAAATTCATCGTATCGTTTTCTCGTACGGCCCTGCCCTCCCTGCCTAAGTCGCCCCAAAGTCCTGTGCTTCGATCTTCAAGACGATCAATGTCTCACCAAGCTGAATCATCTGACTCGTGAGCTCACTTGTTCATGTTATTTTTCGCGTTCCACTGCCAAAATTCTGCTCGCTGTTGCCGTTCGATTTCATTTATAATTGTTGTTCGGTCTGGGGTCTAACAGTCGGCGTTCATTTGTGTTTCAGGAAATCAGGGAAGAAGGACTTCTCGACGGCGATTTTGGAGCGTAAGAAGTCGCCGAATCGACTGGTTGTAGATGAGGCCGTCAACGACGACAACTCAGTGGTGTCGATGCATCCCGAAACCATGGAAAAGCTGCAGCTTTTCCGAGGCGATACAATCCTCATTAAGGTAAAAATTTTGCCCCTTATCTTTTTTTTTTTCCATGCCCAATCTTTCTGTATTTTTTATTTTTATTTTGTATTCCTAAACTATTGGGTTCACGTTGATATTTTGTTTTAATATTTGGAAAAGTTCTTTGTACATCGGGGTGTCTATAAGTGTTTCTTTCGTGTTATTTTGGCTACCTCGTGAGGTGTTCTGAGTCACGCATGGTTTCTGGCTCGTATCACAGGGGAAGAAGAGAAAGGATACAATTTGCATCGCTCTTGCTGACGACACATGTGAGGAGCCCAAAATCAGAATGAATAAAGTTGTGAGGTCAAATTTGAGGGTTCGTCTTGGGGATGTTGTATCTGTGCATCAGTGCCCTGATGTTAAGTATGGGAAACGTGTGCATATTCTACCCATCGATGATACCGTGGAAGGGGTCACTGGCAATCTGTTTGACGCTTACTTGAAACGTGAGCTCCTGCCCTTCTTTTTTAGTGGGAGTCATTTAAACTCCTGTCTCAGATTTTCCAAAACTTGATTACTTTTGATCCTTTTTGTGACCATGTCAACTTCCCCCGTATATAAGGACTGTTAAATATTTTCTCTTCAAAAATTTGCTGTTAGGATTTGTTGCCTTGCTGCACTGTTATTGTTTGTGATGAGCTTGTCATTATCACAACCAATAAAACTTGAACATGACCTGCCTTTTCTATTTCTATGTGGTGAGTTTTGTTCTTGCCTGTTGTTGGAATCCCTTATGTTTTCTCTTCTATGTTATGCATGTGCGGCTGCTGAATATATAATTGACTTTACTTGAATGTATTTGATGGTTTTCATGGAGTGCTTTGTAAATGTGTCCGGTCATTTTTCCTGAATTATATGTTGTGGTGAAGTTCTTTCTTGCTATAGGATGGGAAGTGCCTGATCTATATATTTGAAGAATTTGTAATTGATTCCCTGTGGGCTTTCTTTTTTTGTTTTTGTACAAGTTGTGTATAATTATATAATATGTGTATTGTATTTGCAGCTTACTTTTTGGAGGCTTATCGCCCTGTTAGAAAGGGGGATTTGTTTCTTGTCCGTGGAGGGATGAGAAGTGTAGAGTTCAAGGTCATTGAAACTGATCCAGGGGAGTATTGTGTGGTTGCTCCAGACACTGAAATCTTCTGTGAAGGAGAGCCTGTGAAAAGGGAGGATGAGGAGAGGTTGGATGAAGTTGGTTATGATGATGTGGGTGGCGTTAGGAAACAAATGGCACAAATTCGTGAGCTGGTAGAGCTTCCACTCAGGCATCCTCAACTTTTTAAATCAATTGGTGTGAAACCTCCCAAAGGAATTTTATTGTATGGACCCCCAGGTTCTGGGAAGACATTAATAGCGAGAGCTGTTGCCAATGAAACTGGAGCTTTCTTCTTTTGTATTAATGGACCAGAGATCATGTCTAAATTGGCGGGAGAGAGTGAGAGCAATCTCAGGAAAGCATTTGAAGAAGCTGAAAAGAATGCACCGTCCATCATCTTTATTGATGAGCTTGATTCTATTGCGCCCAAGAGAGAGAAGACACATGGTGAAGTTGAAAGGAGGATTGTTTCACAACTTTTGACTCTCATGGATGGATTAAAATCTCGTTCTCATGTCATTGTTATTGGTGCGACAAATCGTCCAAACAGCATTGATCCGGCATTGAGGAGGTTTGGTAGATTTGATAGGGAAATTGATATTGGTGTTCCTGATGAAGTTGGGCGGCTTGAAGTCCTTCGCATTCATACCAAAAATATGAAGCTCTCTGATGATGTAAGTTGAGCAGTACTTGAATTTAATTATTAATTGGTAGATTTTTTGGGCATGTCGAAAGCTTAATGCATTTGGTTCCATTTATGATTTAAACCCCTTGTAGCTACCATTGGAATTTTCTTTGCCCCCTCCTTTCTGGCCAAAATACAATTTACTATTGACTACGCTAATTTTTAGCATTTCTATGATTTAGTCACCTTGTTATTCCTTCTGCAACGCGGCTTAGTTATAAATTTGAGATTCATACCCTTGACAGGATTTTTGTATTCAGCCCTAGCTTAAATTGTGGCATTAGTTGCACTCTGATTTCTTCAAACAATTGTCTAAACCTTTGTTGTTTTCCTACTATAGGTTGATTTGGAGAGAATTGCAAAGGACACTCATGGGTATGTTGGTGCTGACCTTGCTGCTCTTTGCACTGAAGCTGCTCTGCAATGCATTAGGGAGAAGATGGATGTCATTGACTTGGAAGATGAGACCATTGATGCTGAAGTACTGAACTCTATGGCTGTTACAAATGAGCATTTCCAAACTGCTCTTGGAACAAGCAATCCATCAGCTCTACGTGAAACTGTTAGTATTTTATTCTATTTTTAAATTTTTGCTACCTTTAGGTTGGTGAGGTGGGGCCTTCTGTCATGAATTTGTTCTCTGATTCTGCTTTGTCTGCAGGTTGTTGAGGTGCCTAATGTCAGTTGGGATGACATTGGAGGACTTGAGAATGTCAAGCGCGAGCTGCAAGAGGTGATACATTTTCTCTGTGATCAATTAAAGCTTGTTTTTTATTTCTTTACTAATTCAATATATTATTGTATTTGCCTTTGTGGACACAGACTGTTCAATATCCAGTGGAGCACCCAGAAAAATTTGAGAAATTTGGTATGTCACCATCAAAAGGGGTCCTCTTTTATGGTCCTCCAGGATGTGGAAAGACTCTGTTGGCCAAGGCAATTGCTAATGAATGTCAAGCAAACTTCATCAGCGTGAAAGGTCCGGAATTGCTTACAATGTGGTTTGGTGAAAGTGAAGCCAATGTTCGAGAAATTTTTGACAAGGCTAGACAATCTGCTCCATGTGTCCTCTTCTTTGATGAGCTTGACTCCATTGCTACTCAGGTTGGTTTCTGTCATATCCCAGTTCAATATTCTATCTGAGTCTTACCTCTTATTCTGAAAAAGCAATTGAATTATCAACTTATGATTATGTCATGGGATGCAACGATGTCGTGTTATCTATGTAGCTTACCTCACTTAGTGAGACAAGGCTTCTTGTTGTTTGGTAAAATCTAAATGATCCCATTAATCATCGCTCATCTGAGTTCGTCTTTGCATCTCTTTGAATTGTTATTCTCAGCTAATCTATAGAATTCTCAATGTTTAAGAGAGGAAGCAGTGTTGGGGATGCTGGTGGTGCTGCTGATAGAGTTCTTAATCAACTACTGACTGAGATGGATGGCATGTCTGCAAAGAAGACAGTGTTCATTATTGGGGCAACTAACAGACCTGATATCATTGACCCAGCACTCCTTCGGCCAGGCCGCCTGGATCAGTTAATCTATATTCCTCTTCCTGATGAGGAATCCCGTCATCAAATCTTCAAGGCCTGTTTGAGGAAGTCACCTGTCTCAAAAGATGTTGATCTGAGAGCACTAGCTAAGTATACTCAGGGTTTCAGCGGGGCTGATATTACAGAAATTTGCCAGAGAGCATGCAAATATGCTATAAGAGAAAACATAGAAAAGGTATGTTTTTGTGTTAGGTTGCTTGATCGATGGATATCTCTTTCACATAAGGCTCTTGACCATGGAACCTTTATAAGGACGGCCTTTGTCACCTTTGTTTTTTTTTTTTAATGGAAGACTGAATATCTATAAATAAAACAGTAACAGAAATTACAAGCCTAAAAACAAAATACAAAAGCAACCTTTCATCACCCTCCATCTCATGAAGTGACAAAAGGTGGAGGATGATCAAAGATTTCGCAATCAGAACAAAGACTATGACCTTTCTTAGCAAGAAGGTCAGCAGGAATGATAGTATCCCTAGAGAGTAAGTTGATTGATAAGAGCCATTCTCGATGAACAGCTTTTGTAGCCTTGAAAGCCTTGTCCTCTATATTTTGGTTGTGACTTTGGTCTTGACTGAGCACAATTAGAATTGGGTTTGGTGCGATTTTATTTTGAAACCTTCTCATTAATACTTGTTCACTTGTGAATACTGATCTAGCGAAATTCTTGTGTTTGTAGGACTATCTCTTTTCTTTGAGATTTGATCAGGAGATACAGTGGTTCAAGTTTTTAGTATTTGTGCAATTTAGTCATATGGCATTGGACATATCGAGTCATTCTGTAGTTTAGTCTCAGTTTCAATATTTTGATTTATTCCTGATATTTTGAATTCTTCTAACTAGGTTTGTCATGCATATTTCAGGATATAGAGCGAGAGAGGAAAAGAAGTGAGAACCCTGAGGCCATGGACGAAGACGTTGACGAAGAAGTTGCAGAGATTAAGGCTGCCCATTTTGAAGAGTCCATGAAGTTTGCCCGCAGGAGCGTTAGTGATGCTGACATTCGTAAATATCAAGCATTTGCTCAAACCTTACAGCAATCCAGAGGTTTTGGAAGTGAATTTAGGTTTCCCGAGACTGAAACAAGGGCTGCTGGTTCTGACCCCTTTGCCGCTCCTGCTGGGGCGGCTGATGATGATGATTTGTATAGTTAAGTTACATACACTGCATGTATTTTCAGTTGCATGTCCAGCTTGTGAGACGTATCTCAAACCCTTATTTTCAGAGGGCTAACTTATTCAAGATCTGTTACCTATTTTGTCTTTAATGTACTCAAATCGTTTCAAACCATTACAAGATTTCCATTAGATATACATACGTGTGTGTGTGTGTGTGTGGGGGGGGGGGGGGCATGTTCTTGTCGGGGAGAAAAATGGGACGAGCATTCTCATTTGGATTGCTACAAGGGGGTTGGTGGAAGTAACAGGCTGTCTGCATTTGTCATATATTTGAGCGAAATGATCCTTTTCTGCGTCTGCCTATGTAAAAGGTGCAGCACAGTTTTATTCACGAAACAAATGGAACCCGCTGCAGAAAATGCTGGAACATGAATCTTTTTACCCAGACACTCTGTACCATTAGCCTAGTTTCAATATTTCCTTGGAGATATGCAATTATACATGTGATTTCTCAAGGTTTTTTTTTTTTTTAAAGTAAAAACCTATGATTATTTTTACCCTGGGAGCACATTGTCTCTTGTAAAAAAATCATTGTAAAGGGCATGATTATTTAAGAAATGTTTAACCAAACGCCCAAAAAGTTGTGTTCAAGTTGTGTCAAAAAAATCAAAATAGTTGACAAGGCTTCGAAGTCATAAGCCATAACGTTCAAAATTGTAGTAGGTAACATGCATGTCACTAATAATAGCAAAGCAAAAGGAACACAATTGGAATTCATGATCCTGAAAAACCATGTACAAACACATGTCAATTCTCCTTTCAACCACACGACCCCAAGAAGTCAGGGTATTTGTGAATGCATTCCCGAGCAGCCTCCAGAATTTAGTGCTTTGTAGTTCACAAATCTGCTTGGAGCTGAGTTACGCTTAGACCCTTTAGGCAAGCAACTCTTCACCTGTTTCCCATGAAAAACCTTCTGTTTGTGGTCCAACTCTGGCCTCATATAGGTTTCTGCTTCTGATAAGACTAATGGTCTTATGACTGTACTGGGAGCACTAGGTGGGATGATCCTTCCAGCCGTGGCTATGTCTAGAGAAATGAGAGAAATAAGGAGGTAAAGGACCAAAGGAAATAACTTTGTAGTAGACATTGAAGCTTCTGAACTTCAACTCGGATAGGAAGAGGTTATATGGTTGATTGCTGCGAGGGTTTTGGAAACCAGGTGCCTTAAATTGGCTCGTGAGTATATCAGCCTAAAGTTAATACACACGCTGCCGCCTGCACTGTCGCTGACAGTAATTACTACCCAAAACTCCAGAAATTGAAAAGGGAATGGAATAGAATTTAGATTGCACCAGAATCATGTACAGAACCTTAAACATTGTCGATCGACTCAGTGCAAGAGTTCATAAAACGAACCAACTTCATAACCGACGGATTGCAGCCTCATTAAATTGGCACAGCCTTTAGTGAATTCCTTTTATATTGGGTTCGTTATTGAAAGTAATTATGGATGAGAAAACCCCGCGTCCGCTCCAAACCTTCAAAAGACCCAAAACGTTCAGAGACAAAATTTACTCTGCTCACGTGAAACCTCACCACTCAAACCTGAGAGCTCAGAAGGAAGCAGCGACCTGCCCAGAAAATCTTACCTTTGCTTATAGGAGGCAAATTTTACTGGTATTGCTTTTATTGCATTCGCCATGTATAGCATGACCCCAATGGTACGAAAAATATTTTGATAGAGAAAAGGGACAATGACAAAAAAATTTTAAAAAAATTAATTAATTTAATTTTGAATCTAATATTTTGATAGAGAAAAGGGACAATGACAAAAAAATTTTAAAAAGATCAATTAATTTAATTTGAATCTTAAGTACTAAATTTTAAAAGTTTGCAAATCAAGCTTTTAATTTTATAATTGTACCATGATGAATTTATAATTTATTTTTTAAATTTTAACATGATTAAAAAATAAAAGATTTTATTTTTTATTAAAATTTAAAATATAAATTATAATTTATTATAATAGAGTTGTAAAATTGAGAGATTGAATTATGAATTTTTAAAATTTAATATTTAAAATCTAACTTAAATTAATTGATCCTTTTGAGAATCTTTCTATCATTCTCCTCAAAGAAAAAGGTTGTAGAGTAAAATCTCAAAATCCCATCTTAATAAACTTCAAAAAAATCCTTTAAAATTGCTTAATATCTTTACAATTTTAAATTATCCTAATGAAGTTTATTAATCAGAGGATGCTATTTAATTAATTAGGAGATTATTAAGTTGGTTAGGAAATATCAAAGTAAAGAACATTTAAAAAAGAAAAAAATTAATGCTTTAAACAAAATATTTTATGTTAAGTATTATAGAAAAGGATCTTACAATGAAAATTGAAAGAAACGATTACAAAGTTATAAATAACGCTATTTATTTTTTTGATTTTGTACATTTGAAAAGAGCCATGCCTAGTTACATAAACAACTGAATCTTAATAATAAGCTATATATTATCAATATATAATATAAAATTTATAACCAGCAATAATATTTGCTATAAAATATAAGTACAATTTTAAGAGTGTTTTTACGTTTTATTATTCCAAGCAACAGGGGAAAATAAATAATTTCGTATAAGAAAATTTATAACGGAAAGATAGTTAATGCAACAGGAAATATGCCATCTTTTCTCGAATCAGACCAATTTATTTAGAGCAATTGAGTATACATGGGGATAAGGTAGAGTGGCTAGATGGGGACGTTGGCAAGTGAAGGAACAGAAAGGAAACGCTGAGAAAGAAAAAATCTTCAATGGAACTCATAGTTCACCCTACTTCACTTCCCTCATTCCCAAAGAGTAAGATTTTCTCTTTCCTTTGTTTCCCTATTTATTTTCACTCTACTCGCTCCTGCTGGTGCATGTATATGCTCATTTAAACTTCATCAACCTACTGGTTAAGCGTGCTCATCTGCTGAGCGACCTCAAAGAGGCACCGTTAATGATCCCCACAGCTTCTAGATAGCTTTCATGTTAATAATTCGGTTCGGTGGAACCACCGTGCCGATTGATTGCTTGCTGTTACGGTGGAAGGTTTCTAATGTATTGTAGACTTGTACTAATCTATATATGGCTCGTTTGCCTCATTTATTAGCGTTGAAGTTAAATTGAAAGGAAATCCCCATGAAATCTTAGTTGAAACTTGTCTCTTAATAGGTTTTGTGTAGTTGGATGATAATGCCACTGCGCTCGCCTCTAAATGGCTCTTTAATTCTTTTGATAAAGATCAGCGTCGTCCCTTGCTTGTGATTTCAATTTTATTGGAGTTGTGGCCATGGAGAAACTCAAGAAATTGAGCTTCTGGAATCTTCCAAGTGTTCTGAAATGGACTCGTCTGTGTTCTCATTCATGCATACTAGATAAGAGTTTTTGTGCTCACAGCTTCAATTGTTGGTGCTTGTACCCATAACAAAGAATGAACGGTGTCATCACAAAAAATCCTTTTGTTATTCTTCAGCACTCAAAAGGTGTTTCTTGAAATATGGTTTTGAGGACGCCCTGTAAAAGTTATACTTTTCAGTCAAGATAAAGTGTTAAAAATTGGATGCCCGGTTCGTCCTACACTTCAGTTTAGGATATGACAAAGAAACCAGCTGCCTTCAGAAGAAAGGTTGAAAGTTGTTGACGCATTGTTTTTTTTCCAGTACTCCTGTAGCACTATATGATCGTCTCCTCGTCTTTTATTTCACTGGCATAGTTAATCATTCCTTAGACCTTTAGGTTTCAAAAGCAATCACTAAGTTCACTTAAACATGGCCCCTTTTTCCATTTCTCTCTTTATGGTGTTCCTACTCCTAGGACAGCGATCCACTGACCAGTGTTGTTAAATTGATGACATGCATAGCTTACCACTGTATTTTCGAGTCTCATTTTACATCTTGTGTAGATGTGAAGTCACAATTGCAAGGAAGGAAATATTCCGCCATCACATCTGCACTACCTGAAACGGCAGCATCAGTGGCAGTCACCGCAACTCTTGTTGGTGCAGCAGTTACTCTTCTTGTGAAGAGAACAAAACCTTCTGAAACGAAAGAGGTCAGTGATTCATCTTTCCTTTCAGTAGTATTATTAAAATATCTGTGCCCTGCAATGTCTACATTATGCCGATATTAAGAAATATACATCTTTATGGAACCAAGAACGTAAAAATTGCTTCTGCATCAATTAAATGATTCTTATGGATAACACACTAACTTAGCAGCAGCTCCATTAACACTTGAAGTATAGAAACTTCTTAAAGACTGAAGATTCAATTATATTAGGTGTTCCTGTTTCCATATCACATGACGACTTAACAATTCAGATTTTTTTCTTTATTCTCCAGAAATATGGCACTTGTGAACTTGATTGTGCGTTGATTATTCACTAATGCCAATATTTGACTAGCCTAGAGATAGGCTGTGTAACCAAAAAGGAAGGCATGCACTTGTCTTAAATTAGATAGATCAAACTGTGATAAATTGCTCCCTTTCATGTGGCAAGTGTTTGTGTAAAGAAAGCTTCTTGTAAAACAGATTCAATTCAGAGAATGTGAAGATTGTGCCGGTTCTGGTGTATGTTCAGAATGTAACGGTGAAGGATTTGTGCTCAAGAAACTCTCTGAGGAAAGTGCTGAGAGGGCAAGAAAGCTTTCCAAGAATATGGCTACTCGATTCACAGCCGGGTATTATTTTTATCTCTCTCTATTCCTTTCATATCAAGTTTTTTGGATTCGTTCATTCACCCGAATTTCACAGCCTTCCAAAGAAGTGGAGCTATTGTGCAAAATGTTCTTCTGGCCGATCTTGCTCAACCTGTGGAGGCAGTGGGAAGTTAAGCATCTAGGTTTTATCATCCAATTTGAGAAGACACAAATCCTCTGCATTATTTACGACCTTGTTGACGGCAAGATTTAGAGTCAGATGATTTCAGTAAACGAAAGCTCATGACTGATGTAAATTCTCGTCTCTGCTGGTGTGGTTATAACTGCGATTCCTGACTCTATTAATCATGAAGCAAATTTTTTATGTACATAATTGAGCGGCAGTGTAAATCAAGTTTTTCCTTGCAAGACCAGAGTCTAGTTCAACTTTAAACATGTGCTTTGGGGGGGGTGTGTGTGTGTGTTGTTTTTTTTTTCTCTTCCTCTGTCCTCTAAACAAGAGTTTATTCCTGCCCGTTCATAGAGGCCATTACGAAACTGTTGAAATCTGAAAGGCTATTTGAAGTGGATCTTGCCCTTAACAGAATTTGCTTTCTAATGTTTTGAGATGTAAAACTCCCAATACCAGCCAACTGATATGTTGGGTCATAAGCAGGGTCCAGGGAAACGTTCCTGCGGTTGAATTTATTATTAGAGTTAACATAAGGCTACAATCACGAACATAAATGAAAATTATACTGAAAATTAAACTTTTTCTATGTTTTATATGAAATTTTGAAAAATGAGTTGCATTGATCATAATTTATAAATGGTTGGGTTGCAGTTTGCTATAAAATTTGTGCTATATAATGATATATTTATATTTGGATTTTTGCTCAAAGCTGCGGTCAAAATACTATTTTTGAGGTCTGTAGCTTTTTTGGTTCTATTGATAGTGCTTCCTGGTGAAAAAAGATGACTTTGCATGGAGCATTTAGGAGTAAATAAATTCATTTCCTATCTTGTTAGTTTCTTCTGTGCTTTAGTACTTGTCTTTTCTAATTGCATGAAAATGAATTCATCAACCTTTAACCAGACATTGCAACAAATGCATTCCCCTTGCGCTCTGTCTTATTCAGTTATTCGCAAATCATTATTATTATTATAATTATTTCGACTGTGAGACCCTAATACTACTTGCTGTCCATAGAACTTTGAATATAATGAAAAGACAGAGTGGGTCAGATTCTCTCTTCAGCAGACTTGGTGATGCAAGTTCGTCCCCACCATACCCGCAGTTCCACTCGAAACCCAAATTTAATCATATTATTTAAATTGCATCCATCAGCGTTGGTGTCTCCTTCATGCATGATTCAGATTATGCATTGACTTGTTAATATATCCCATGTTTCACGAAAAGAGACAAATCAACTGTCCAGCCACTCGACAATAATTGAGGAATTAAGGTTTCATAGTAATGACATCAGCCTAAAATTGCCTTAATATTCACCACTGATTTTTGCACTTGTCCTGATGCCACCCACAAAAAACTCTCTCCTCTAACAAATGCCATATCCATATCTTAAGATTTTTTTTTTAATTTCTTCTATACAGCATTCATCTTCACCTCATAATTATGAATGTTCATATCAATATGAAGCAGCACAAATGCAATTATGCAAAGAGAAACATCCACATGGTTTGTACTTTCTATGTAAATATATCAAAACCAGAAAAAGAAAAGGAGGGATCAGACATGGGAGGGAGTTGTATTTGGAGGTGTTGGGGCAGAGGCCACACGCTTGCCTCTCTCCGATCGGCTGTTAACTGCGAACTTGAGACTCTGCTGATGCAACCCGTTTTCCTTCTCCTGGTCTTTCCTTTCAGAAGCATAATAATATTCTTCCGTGGATTTATCAACATCTTTGGTGGGAGGAAGAAACACGCTACCCCACCGCGGGAAGTGAACCAGAGTCACTGGAAGTGTACAGCACACAATAATCACACCCATCGAGGAAAGACTGCAAGATATCAGAGGTAAGGAAGAAGAGAAAACAAAGGAGAACATAATGAATGATTTAATCTTATTGAACTGCCTTCATCATCTGATTACACTTGATCATCTATATAGAGCTTAATGTCACGGATGATATTTCCGTGACCGTGTAAAGACCAAGATAATGAACGGTTCGCTGGTTAGCCTCGCACAATATGGGTAAAGGGGGCGACATTAGCATTGGGGGTGTTCTGCCTCAGTCTTCGGACTGTGTGCACAACTGGTCGGGGGCTAGTACCGCCTTCCTGATGAGCCCATGGCAGGGCGAAACCAGTGTGATCCGTACGTGGTAAGGCTTGTCCTGAGGATTATGGGGTCCTCCAGGACGCCGCACGGGCGCCGTGTGCTGCGCCAGACTCTCAGCCCGTGACAGAGTGGTATCAGAGCAGGACGTACTTTACTGTCGTGTGCGCGTGGGGTCCCACGTTGGGACTGGTCGGCCTCGGCACCGCTCCAGAAAGGCCTCCGAGCAGGTGGGTCCAAAAGTGGGGACTCGGGCGGGATGGTTGGCCGTTGTCGACTCCACTCCTGTTGGCTCGCGGGTGCGAGTGGGTCCGAAGAGTGCAGGACTCGGGTGGCCACTCAGCAAGTAAGCTGGTGTGTTTGTGGCAGTACTGTACGTACGATCCTTGGGCGGAGTCGTTCTCCCCTAGCACGAGGGCGTGCTAGATTGGGTGTGGGAGAATGTCACGGATGATATTTCCGTGACCGTGTAAAGACCAAGATAATGAACGGTTCGCTGGTTAGCCTCGCACAATATGGGTAAAGGGGGCGACATTAGCATTGGGGGTGTTCTGCCTCAGTCTTCGGACTGTGTGCACAACTGGTCGGGGGCTAGTGCCGCCTCCCTGATGAGCCCATGGCAGGGCGAAACCAGTGTGATCCGTACGTGGTAAGGCTTGTCCTGAGGATTATGGGGTCCTCCAGGACGCCGCACGGGCGCCGTGTGCTGCGCCAGACTCTCAGCCCGTGACATTAAGCTCTGAACAACTATTAACCACTTAAATAGAATTAGTTAAACGGACTAAACTAACTCTAGCAGAGAGGACAATAGGTTAGGCCTCAAATTGGGTCAGTTACATATTCTAACATCCCCCTCGTTGGAAAAAAGAAATTAAGCTGCAGAAGCTAAATCTAATGGTCCAGCAATATTAAACCTATCACGTAACGTCACAAATGGAGCAAATGACAGCGGCTTGGTTAAAATAGTCAGCAACTTGTTCTTCTAATGGCACATATCGTACATCCAATATTCCTTGCTCAACTTTTTCTCGTCCGAACTGCAGATCTAACTCAATGTGCTTTCCTCTTAGAATGTAGAACTGGGTTAGTTGCCAATGAGACAGTTACGGCATTGTCAACCCATGCTATAGGAATGCCAGAAACAGATACCTTCATTTCCTCCAACAAAGACTTCAACCACATTACTTCAACTATTGTATCTGCTAAGCTACGATACTCAGCTTCTGTAGATGATGGAGTGACCGCTGACGGCCTCTTTGAAGCCCAGGTAATAGGATTGCATCCTATATATGTACAAAAGCCACTTGTAGATCGCCTATCAGGCTTAGTTCCTGTCCAATCAGTATCTGGACCCAGATCAGAGTCTGCAAACGCATGAATAGAATAGTAGAGATAGGCTTGATGAGTAACCCATGTGCAATAGTCCTTGCCAAGTACCTAAGGAGCCTCTGAACAAACTCCCAATAAGCAATCAGTGGCTGATGCATATGTTGAACTGATTTGTAAGCTGATTTTGATAAAGCAAAATCCTGGATTCTAACTTTACAGAATAAAGACTGCAGAGCCCGTGCCAAATTTGAGTTGCAGTGTTAAAGCCAACTAGATCAAGAAGGACTGAAGAACCGACCGTCAAAAGTAGCCAGGAAGTAAGAGTAGTGTTGCTTTGTTTGTACATCTATAAGCTAGTCGTTCCTTCAACAATAGACCATGAAATCGGTGCAGTACCTTCAAGAATTTGATGAAGGCGATGTTGTTTCACCATCAGATGCAGTTGATGCTTCCATAGGAGAAAACTGTTGTCATCCGGGCAAACGTTGATCTTCTTATTAGAGAATGTTCACGAAACAGACAATGTAGCGAGAACGAGAAGAACAGCGTTGGTATGCACAGCAGCAGAAGCCATGGAAATAGGTCTAGAAACTATGAGAAGCATATCAAGAGAAGAGGAATGGCTCTGATATCATATCAGATACACTCGTTGGTTCCAGAGGAGAAAATTGTTGTCATCCAGACAAACATTGATCTTCTTATTAGAGAATGTTCGCGGAGCATACGATGTAGAGAGAACAGGAAGAACAGCCAGCGTGGGTATGCGCAGCAGCATAAGCCATAGAAGTAGACCGGGAAACTATGAGAAGCAGATCAAGAGAAGAGGAATGGCCCTAATACCATGCAAGATATCAGAGTTAAGGAAGAAGAGAAAGCAAAAGAGAATATACTAAATGATGTAATCTTATTGAACTGCCTTGATCATCTATATAGAGCTTAAGCTCTGAACAACTATTAACCACTTGCACGGAATTAATTAAACTGACTAAACTAACTCCAGATAGAATGATGGGCTGGGTCTCAATTAGGCTGGTTACATATACAAACACAGACCAGTAAAAGTAATAACTTGGAGGTTAAAAAGACAATCAACGGGGTCAAACCCGACCTGCAGTTTCCCCCAGCCCTGGTCAGGCGCAATATTATCTCAAGAGACCTCTTGAGGTGAATGTGATTATAACAATTGCAATTGCCACACGGACTCTTCACTTGCAAAATCAGGATCAAACCCAGCTCACGACGCCCCACATTCCGCCAAACCACAAATCGTGGAATTTAGAATGCAGTCAGGGACGTTGGGCATATTAGCAGGCCTTTTCCATCTTAGCGTCCGTCCACCCCAACGTCTGTACAAAGGATTACGTATGAGAAATATTGAAACCGTCCTTTCCAGTAGTATCGCTGCTGTCTTTTTTGCAGCTTTATTGTTACTGGAACTATGTGGTATGGTTCAGCAACTACGCCAATTGAATTATTTGGTCCCACTTGTTATCAATGGGATCAAGGATACTTTCAGCAAGAAATATATCAAAGAGTTGGTACTGGGCTAGCTGAAAATCAAAGTTTATTAGAAGCTTGGTTTAAAATTCTTGAAAACTTAGCCTTTTATGACTACGTTGGCAATAATCCAGCAAAAGTGGATTGTTTAGAGCGGGCTCAATAGACAATGAAGATGGAATAGTTGTTGGATGTTTAGGACACTACTCGTGTTGAAGCTTAGGTTGTATAGATACAGGTACGAGTATTTAATATGATACGACATAATATAAGAATATAACAACTTTCAAAATTTTAAGATACG